CTTGGTGGCTGTTTGGCCGCCATTGTTGTTATTGTCGCTAGATTCAGGGGTCTTTTACAAGCTCTGATTGGCTTTTACACCATTTGAAAGCAAAAAGCTAATTGGCTGTAATATTTTTCGCTCTTGTTGAACCAGATTAATCTGGACCAAGGAACTTGCGATACGATTCATATTCATAAATGTTTTGTACTGTTCTGTTATAAAGTTTCAAAACTCGATCAACAGAAAAACATATTTATAACAAAAATATAGCTAAAATGAAAAAACCCATTCCACAATTTTGAATTCCCAAGACCACATTTTGGATTTCCAAGACCACAAAATGTGGGTGAAACCACACTAAAATAGGCCCTGGGTATAACACAACGTTAAACAAACATTAACCTTTTTTATGCTGAATCTGGAACAAAAACATAGGAGCGCCAATATATTGCATTAAACATTTAACCTGCAACACCTGCTGCCTTAGATGTTGTTATGAACGATCAAAAATGCAACGTTCACGTGATTTTGATTCGAACACTTAATTTATTTAATCATTTGGGTTCGATTGACACGCATGAGGAGGGAGCAGACGGTAAGGCTAGGCAGTTTTTGAAATTAAGCAAGGGTTGAAAGTATGCAATTACACTTTACATGGCAAAAATAAAGCTTGTTCATCAGAGTCATATGTGACCCCTTCAGCACCGCATCGCGCCCCCCCCCCCCAAAAGGGGTGTCATGAGGTTGAGAAAAAAGTAATGAGACGTAGTTTAACCTAAACTAGGCTCTAATCAACGCATAACCACTAGTAACTCAAAAACAACTACGCTTCAATGCGCTAATAAGTTTGAATGTCAACACAATCTGTTAAATTACTTCTAAGGAAGGTATCAACTAAACACAATGCGTCAAGCAGAATATCAATAGGCTAGTCTTACCTCATTCTCCCCCAGTAGGGAAAGATACTCATGGACTTGAAAATCCATATCTCTCAGGTTTCTTTCTAAAACGAGTTGCTCACCGGGTTCCACGAAGCTGCTCAACGGGTTCCACCATTTCACAGCTAACATTCTCTGTTATTGGAACTTCAACGGTATCTGATTGGCCAGGCTCGATGGCAGTAGCCCTGTTAAGCTGGTCTGAATCGGTTCCATCTTCTGCATTATCTGTGCTCCTTGAGCAAGGTGCAAGATCAGTAAGAGAAACTGACGACTCACGGCCATCTTTAAAGCGAATACGTTGGATTCAGATGAGTCAGCTCAACTTCCTCCACCAATCATCGTTTTTGTTTGAACCTACAAACTGGCCCTGGAGAACTGGAAAACTGGCCCTGGAGATAGCCATGAAGGTAAAGATATTTCTGTCATGTGGGGTGGCATTTGTGGCGGTTGAAAGAAGGGATCGGATTGAATGAAGTGCGTCTGGCAAAACGCTCTCCCATTGCCGATCTGGTAGCCTAGCAGAGGCCAAAGCGAGCCTCACAGTTTTCCACACAATACCATTGTATCGCTCTACTTGTGAGTTGCCAGTGGGACGATAGGGAGTTCTGTGGCTGCTGGCAATTCCTCTGCTTCTGAGATAGTTGGTGAGTTCTGCAGACATGAAAGAAGAACCACGATCAGAGTGTATGAATACGGGCATCCCACATAGGGAAAATATCGTTTCCAAGCATGTTATAACAGTTTCAGTTGACATATTAGAGCAAGGAATCACGAACGGGAAACGAGAGTATTCATCGATTACTGCGAGAAAGTATTAATTCTTTGATGAAGATGGCAGAGGTCCTTTAAAGTCTATGCTAAATCGTTTCATGGGACGTGTTGCCTTTATAAGCTTATTGTTCTGACGCCGATAGAAAATGGGTTTCAGCTCAGCACAAATCCGACAGTTGAGACATACATCTCGCACATCTTGCGTTGCAGGTTCTTGGCTTTCACAATATGAAGAAGACGAGTAATACCCGGATGACATAGCCGAGAATGGATTTCATCCAGATTTATCGAAGCTGCAGCACAGTGAGCGCGAGTGAAGGAATCTGGAACGACATTGAACTCTGAACCAGTACACACTTCTTACCTTGGATCTGCAGTTGATAAAGATAGAAGTCAGTTAATTTGGCATTGTCGTTTTGGTCATTTGGGTGCTGACAGTATGAAGAAATTGTTGACAGAAAAATTAGTTGATGGAATGGATTTTAACATAACTGATGATGTTAATGAGCAAGTATGTGAAGGTTGCCTCATGGGAAAACAACATCGTAATCCATTTCCAAAAGAATCATTTAATCGAGCATCAGAAGTTCTTGCTACAATACACAGTGATGTATGTGGTCCTATTAATGTGGAATCACTTGGAAAGTCAAGAAATTTTGTGGCATTTATAGATGATGCATCTCGATACACTCATGTTTATTTCATACAACACAAGCGTGAAGTCCTCGACAAGTTCAAAGAGTTTGTCAATTTGACAACCAACCAGACTGGAAAGAAAGTTAAGAAATTACGTACAGATAATGGTGGTGAATTTTGCTCCAAAGAGTTTGCAAAATACCTGAAAGAAAGGGGAATTGTACATCAAACAACAACACCAATGAATCCAGAACAGAGCGGAGTTGCAGAGCGTATGAATAGAATTATTGTTGAAACAGCTCGTTCTATGTTACATCATGCTAGTCTACCAACCTCATTTTGGGCAGAAGCAGTGAGCACAGCTGTGTTCTTGAGAAACCGCAGCCCGAAAGTTACTGTCAATAAGAAGACACCTTTTGAATTCTGGTACAATGCAAAGCCGAATGTGTCAAACCTTAAAGTATTTGGTTGCATAGCTTATGTACATGTTGCAGACAAGAATCGTCACAAGTTTGATGCGAAATCCAAACAAGTGGTATTCGCTGGGTACCCAGATGGAATTAAAGGTTATAAACTTTATGATCTTAATACAAAGAGCTTCATTCGGAGTCGTGATGTCAAGTTTCTTGAAAGCACCTTCAGTAATAATGGTATGTTTGCATTTGAAAAAAGAATCAAAGATGTAGATTTGTATACTGAGAAACCCACAATTACTGATGATGTGTACTTTGATGGTAGTAATGCAGAAATCAACAACGAGGAACACATGGCGATAGAGAGAATGCTGAGAGAGAAAATGAAGCAGAATTTGTTCCACGGAGATCACAGCGTCAAAGAGTTGCTCCTGATCGCTTTAGAGTGATAGCTTGTGACTGGTGGGATTTTGCTTCAGTGGCAGCTACAGATGAAGAAGAACCCAAAAACATCAGTGAAGCATTTAACAGCAGGAAATCGAAATTGTGGAAAACTGCTACTGACAACGAATATCAATCATTGCTGAAAAACAAAACTTGGGATTTAGTCAAATTACCAGAAGGAAAGAATGTTGTCACATGAAAATGGGTCTTCAAAATGAAACGTAAACCAGATGGAACAGTGGATCGATACAAAGCTAGATTGGTGGCTCAGGGCTACTCTCAAGAAGCTGGACAAGACTATGATGATACTTTTGCTCCAGTAGCCAGATATAATTCTACTAGATCTGTGCTTGCAATTGCAAATCAACTGAATCTTGAACTCCAACAAATGGACGTGAAAACTGCATTTCTAAATGGAGATTTAGAGCATGAGATCTACATGGAACAGCCAGGAGGCTATGTTGATAAAAACCATCCAGATAAAGTATGCAGACTTCGAAAGAGTCTTTATGGCTTGAAACAATCCGCAAGATGCTGGAATACTACAATGGATCGGTATCTGAAAGATTCTGGATACGTTCAAAGCAATGCCGATCCATGCATCTACTATAAGGCTGAGAAAGGAGATAGAAAGAATCATTCTGAATGAAAGAATGAAAGAAAGAATCATATTGATTCCATTATATGTTGATGATATTGTGTTAGCAACAAATAGTTGTGACATGTTGGAAAGAGAAAAGGAGACATTGAAAGATCAGTTTGAAATGGAAGGTCAAGGAGAAATTCATTACTGTTTAGGCATGTTCATCAAAAGAAACATAGATTTAAAGACTCTCACCATTAATCAAAGAGCATATCTTGAGAATTTGCTGACAAGATTCAACATGTTCGACTGCAAACCAGTTTCAACGCCAATAGAAGTTGAGAAGAAGTTTGAAAAAATGAAGGAAAGAGAAAAATCAGCGAATGCGAGGGATTATCAAGCTGCAATTGGATCGATCATGTATGCAGCGAATGCTACCCGCCCTGATATATCA